GTCGACGGAGTCAGGTATGCCAGGGTAGCCGTAGTCACCCTAGAGTGGGTTGTCTGGGCCCAGCTCTTCCACATGGAACCTCGGCCCAAAAGGCAGAACTCATAGCTCTGACAAATGCCTTAGACTGGGCGGAGGGAAAAACTGTAAACATCTACACGGATAGCCGGTATGCCTTTGCTACCGCTCATGTACATGGAGCCATTTATAAAGAAAGAGGACTACTTACCTCAGAGGGAAAAACCATCAAAAATAAAGAAAAAATCCTAGCCCTACTAGAGGCTATATGGAAGCCCAAGGCAGTGGCATTAATACACTGCAAGGAACACCAGAAGGGAAATTCACCAGAGGCAAGGGGAAATAGGGCGGCTGATCTACAAGCCAGAAAGGCAGCCTTGGGACCAGTAAAGCCTCTGACTCTTCTTGTGACTCTGCCTGCCCCAACCCTGCCCCCTACCCCTACGTACTCACCTGACGAGGAAAACTTTGCTAAAGAACAAGGGGGCACACAAGATTCCACAGGATGGTGGATTCTACCAGACTCAAGGATTGTGGTCCCCGAGGCTCTAGGATGGGCTCTAGTTAAGGACAGACACCAGGCCACTCACTTAGGACAGACCAAACTAACTGAGCTGCTAAAAGCCAAATACTACATCTCCCACTTACATGAACTTATCAAGGAAACTACTACCCGGTGTGATGTATGTGGCCGAGTAAATCCAGGAGGGAAAAGGTCTAGCCAGGTAGGAGTGAGACTTAGAGGGACTAGCCCTGGGGAGCACCGGGAAGTAGGTTTCACTGAAATAAAACCCCTGGCAAATGGCTATAAATACCTCCTAGTGTTTATAGATACGTTCTCTGGATGGGTTGAGGCCTTCCCCACTAGGTCTGAGACTGCTTTGGTGGTCACAAAAAAACTATTACAGGACCTTGTTCCTCGGTTTGGCCTCCCTCTAACGCTGGGGTCAGACAATGGGCCTGCCTTTACTGCACAAGTTTCTCAGGGCCTAGCCAAGGCCCTGGGTGTATCCTGGAAATTACATTGTGCCTATCGTCCCTAGAGTTCAGGGCAAGTCGAATGAATGAACTGGACCTTAAAAGAAACCCTGACAAAGTTTATCCTAGAGACCAGTGAAAACTGGGTCAGCCTGCTTCCTTTTGTCCTCCTCCGTGTCTGATGCACACCCTGTCAGAAAGGTTTCTCCCCTTTTGAAATCATGTTCGGCAGGCCCCCTCTCTTACTCCCCAGACCCGTGGATATCATGCATGCTGAAATCCATAACTATACACTCCTTAAGTCCTTACAGGCGCTCCAGTCTGTTCAATCCCAGATACACCAGCTCATTAAGGACACCCGTCCCACCCCATTGGACCTCGCAAAGCGGCCAACACACCCCTTCCAGCCTGGAGACTCTGTCCTTGTTAAAATATTCGCCACCTCTGGCCTCACTCCCCGTTGGAAGGGACCCTACACGGTTATCCTGACCACACCTGCTGCTCTCAAGGTGGACGGACTAACGGCCTGGATTCATCACACCCACATCAAGGACAATGGAGCATCAAACACTCATCCCCCGACTCACTAAAGCTAAGACTTGTGAGCTCTTCGCAGTCACCACCCTCGCCACCCTAATCTGTGCTGTAAATGCCTATAGCAACCCCCCCCTTAGAACCCACCTACTATCAATGGGTCCTTACCGAGGGCTCCACTGGAGGATATGTTAGTTCCTTAACCGGGAAGGGATCCACCTTAGTCAATCTAACCCTGGAGTACATTCCAAAGACCCCCATTACCTTCTCCCTAGGCCTCTGTGCCCTCCCGGACCCCAATCTAAATTTCAGAACAAGTGGAGGTGTAGCCGGGTGTGGCAGTTTAGGGGCAGAGCAACAACTCCAGACCATGGGGTTATATCTGTGCCCAGGATCCACCCCACAAAAAAAGATGGAACTGTGGAGACTTAAATGAATTCTTTTGCCCCCATTGGGGTTGTGAAACTATCTCCACTACATACCAAAAACATAGACTCCTTCGTCTCTTTTAACCGAGACTTTCCCCCATCCCCATGCTACACCACTCAAAATAACTGTAACCGCCCCAGATGGTAGATGAACAGCAGGTCGAACCTGGGGTCTCGGAGTATATATGAGTGGGTGGGACATGGGAAACATCTTTACCATCCAGCGTATAACCTTGCCCAGGTCATAAAACAACAGGAGGCCCCCTTAAAAATACAAAGCCCCCTCATCCAGATAATCAATACCCCCCCCAACGACCTTCCCCTACAACCCCAACTCGGCTCGAAGAGGACACAACCCTGTTAACCTTGTTGTCCTCGGTTCACCACCTCCTCAAATCTAACCCAGATTTAGGACAAGACTGTTAGCTCTGTTTAAACCCTCAACCACCGTTTTATACCGGCTTGGCTTCCCAATTACCGGCCTTCCTGTCCAATTCTTCATGCTCACAGTCCACACTCTATTTAACCCTGGGAGACATAGAAGGGTATGGGCACTGCTACCACTCCCCAAATTACACCCTTGCAGGTTCTCCCTATGGGCACTATTGTAATGTCTCCCACAATGTAACATTTAATGGTAAAAACCTTCACTATCGGGCCCCAGAATCTCGAAACCAGAAAACAACGTAGAGAGGTTTCGGAAAGTTGGTATCAAAAAATGTTTTCCTAGTCCCCTTGGCTCACCTCCCTTCTCACGGGCCTGGTGGGACCTCTGGCCCAACTCTTATCAGGTCTCGTGTTCAGCCCCTGCCTCCTAAACCAACTGCTCAGGTTCATAAAATCTAGGAGAGGCTCCATAAAATTATTATATTAAGGTCTCAGTATGAGTCCTTAGAACAAACAGTACTAACCTGTTGGAGGAATCAATGATTTAATTCCTGTAAATAAAACAAGGGGGGAATGTGACATGGTAAAAGCCCCATAAAATTGCATACCTCAACTATACCTCGGCTTTCTGTTTAAACTGCTCTCTATAACCCAAATGTGAATGAGCAGTTAAGGGCTATAATCGCCACCTTACCCAGACAATGTGTAAACAAATGCTAATCTTGACTTTTGTGAATCACTTAAGTAACAACCAGAATGTCAAAAAGGGCCCCTGGCCCTCGGAATGTCCGGAGCCCCTCACCCCATCTTCACCCAGGAATCCACTGGAATGTCTGGAACCCCCTCACCGCCAACCCCCGCCCCTCTCCCTTACGCCCAAGGTGATTTTTTTACAGGTATAAAGGGGTCTTGACACCCTCCTTTGGGGGCCACGGGTTGGAGGGACACGAGTCCTCTGTGGCCACTGGCAATAAAGACCCTGCAATTTGGCATACTTTTGTCTTGGTGTTGACTTTCTATGCTCAGTCCAGTACAACAAATACATATTCACATACACATAGACATCCATATAGATGGATGAAACAGAGATTCATACACAGATAGATTGATTTTAAAGTGTTCTAAGATCTTTGCATTGCCTGGGAGAAGGATAGAAGACTAAAAATATTAATTAATATGATATTTAGTAAGTCAAATGTCTTTTTAATAGCCTCTAGCATAGCCACTAATAGCAAGTGCAATAATATATTAATTCCAAATAGATAGTAAACAAAATGGAATAATATAAAGTAATCTACCAATGGAAAGCAAACAGAAAGACATTTTTTAAGAAAGCAGGTTTGGGAAATAGGTAACATAAAGAAAACTGTAGAGTTAAACTCAAAAAGATTAATAATTACATTCAATGTAAATGAATCAGAAACTTCAATGAAAAGACAAGATTGTAAGACAACAATAAAAGACATGTTTGTATATAAAACATACAGAGAAGTTACTTCAAAGTAAAATTGTTTCTTAAACTGTACCATGTAAAAAAAATAAATAAAAACTGAAATAAATATATTATTTCAAACTGAGTAAACTTAACAACAGGCATTAAAAGGAATAAAGTGAGGCACATTTTAAGAATAAAATGCTCAGTTCACCAGTAAGATAAAATACTTCTAAATTTGTATGCAACTAATATAATCATTTGAAAATATTCTAAACAAAACTGATATAACTACAAGAAGAAATTCATAATTATTATAGAGGTTTTAAAATTAACTCTCTCAATATCACAGAAAAGACAGGAAAAATATAATAAGGCACAGAAGATTTAAATAAAAGGGTCAACAAATTTGACTCAATGAGACACAGGGTTTGCTGCACCCCATAACCATAGAATGCAAATCATTTCCAAGAATACCTAAAATATTTATAAAAACTGACCAAAGAAAATCCCAATACATTTTAATTATTAAAATACTACATAAAATGTCTGATCATAGTAGAATAAGAACAGAAATCAATAATATCTTGCCACGATTTTGGAAATTAAGAGATATAATTATTTACAACGCATAGATCAATGAATAAATTACAAGAAAATAAGAAAATATTTTTATTTATTTATTTTTTTTTTTGAGTCGGAGTTTCGCTCTTGTTACCCAGGCTGGAGTGCAATGGCGCGATCTCCGCTCACCGCAGCCTCCGCCTCCTGGGTTCAGGCAATTCTCCTGCCTCAGCCTCCTGAGTAGCTGGGATTACAGGCACGCGCCACCATGCCCAGCTGACTTTTTGTATTTTTAGTAGAGACGGGGTTTCACCATGTTGACCAGGATGGTCTCGATCTCTTGACCTCGTGATCCACCCGTCTCGGCCTCCCAAAGTGCTGGGATTACAAGCGTGAGCCACCGCGCCCGGCTAGAAAATATTTTTAATTAAAAGATAGCTAAGATTCTATATGTCAAGATTATGAAAAGCAACTAAAGTTAGAAATTTACAGCTTCAATTTTATAGATGAGAAAAAGGATAGGACTAAAAAATTAATAAGTTATGAATCTAGCTCAAGGTGTTAGAAAAGAGGTAAACCAAATGTAGATAAAAGGAAATAGTAACAATAAAAACAAAAATCAGTGAAGTAGAAACCAATGTCAAAGAAAGAATTGTCAACAAGCGGACGTAACGGAGGGAGGTTGGACCCGCGGGAACCAGCCGGAGCTCGCCCGCCAGAAGAACATGAAAAAGCAGGGCCACTCGGTTAAGGGGAAGCGCCGAGGTGACGGGCTTTCTGCGGCCGCCCGCAAGCAGAGGGACTCGGAGATCATGCAGCAGAAGCAGAAAAAGGCAAACAAGAAGAAGGAGGAACCCAAGTAGCTTTGTGGCTTCGTGTCCCACCCTCTTGCCCTTCGCCTATGTGCCGGGAGTCAGTCCCACCACGCTCGCCTTTCCTCCTGTAGTGCTCGCAGGTCCCAGCACCCATGGCATTCCCTTTGCCCTGAGCCTGCAGCGGGTCCCTTTTGTGCTTCCTTCCCCTCAAGTAGCCTCTCTACCCCTGGGCCACTCCCGGGGGTGAGGGGGTTACCCCTTCCCAGTGTTTTTTATTCCTGTGGGGCTCACCCCAAAGCATTAAAAGTAGCTTTGTAAAAAAAAAAAAAAAAAAAAAAATTGTCAAAGCCAGAACCTGGTTCTTTGAAAAGGTAATGAAATTAATAAATCCCTAAGTAGAATGATCTGGAAAATAAGAAATAAGACAAAGGTAAAAAATTACCAATTTCAGAGAGAGAAAAGGTATCACCATCTAAGAGCCTACAGATATTAAATATATATTAGGCAAAATATAAAAAACCGTAAGTTATGGAAAACATGCCAATAAATTTACCAAGATGTAAATAGCCTAATAACTGTGTTAAAAAAAAAAAAA